TAAATATTATTGCATATGAAATTTAATATAATAAATTGTTAATTGTACAGAAGAGAACACACTAAAGCAAATAAAAAAAGAAACTAAGAGGCTTAAGCTCGTCATTTAAAAAAAAAAAAGAAAAAAATTAGAGTCCAATTATTATTTCAGTAAACGTATTAAAAAAGAAAAACTAGGATAATGCATTTTGCATATTTTTACCGTAACATCGTATACATTTATTATCTCATACGAATGTGATAAAATCGTTTAGTATAACACTCGTAAGTTGTCGTAACTAAAAAGATAAATAAGAAAGAAAAAAAAAAAAAAGTATTTTAACGTTGTTATTACGTAAAAGTAAGGTATTATGCATGGGTGAGACAGAATTAAGCTCACGCAACAATTATTGTTTATTTTTTCTTTTTTTTTTGTTTGTAACTTTTACACGCATTACAAAAAACACGTGATCGTAGAAAACCTAATCTTTCTTTTTTTTTATTTTTTCTTCTTATTTGCATAATAATTCTCGTAAAGTACGCGATAAGATAAAATTTTTTAATAATAATAATACTTTGCGTTAGTAATAATAATAATAATAATAATTATTCCGATATTCTTTCTTTTTTTTTTTTTTTTATATATTTGTTAAGACAACATTTTTTCAATTGCAATTAATTTAAACGTAGATAAAAGAAAAATATATGTTATACATTAACGTTTAATCATTTATTTTTATTTGAATTATTTTTTGATATATATATATTTATTTTTCATCCCCCCATACAGGATGATAACGTTAGAATCGAGAATGATATTTTCTCATGGTTTTAATCAAGATAACGAAAATTTAGATTGTCATCGAATTTATTCGATTAACCAATTACAAGAATGTCATTTGAAAGATAATGGACATCGTTTAACATGTTACGGTGGTATTGACGACAAATATAAAACCGAGTCAGTAATTTACAATTTTATTTAATATATAAATCATTATTATTATTATTATTATTATTATTCAACAAATATTTTTCTAATTAAAGAAAATATATTCGTGTAAAAATATTATCTTCATTTTCTATAGAGGTAAAACGGTGCACACACTTGTATTGTGTAATTGGCCTAACTCAACATTAGATCCTCAAGAAGTTTTGCAAGGATTTTCATCGTTGAGAAAATTGAAAATAATTAATAATAATTTGACGAAAATTGTTAATCCTTTTCCCGAAGAATGTCAATTTCTCGAAGTAAGTGAACACAGGTGTTTGCAATCACGACAGGTGTATCTATTGAAATTCATCTGAAGTTTGTGAAAAAATTGTTCTCGGATTTTTCGTTAATTAACTTTTATGTAATTTTAATAATTTATTATTTTCTTTTGTTTTTTGTTTTTTTTAATTAATTAATTAATGAATTAATTCATTCATATTCGGTTTTTAGATTTTTATTTGATATTTTGTGTTCTTTTTTTTTTCTTCTACTTCTTCTTCTTGTTTTATTGAACATTCTTTTTGTCGAATTTTGGGATAAATAATAAATGTACAGATAGAACGAGGAAGAACCACACCCCAAGTTTCTGTTTCGTCCATGTTTCTCTCTTAACAGAAAGTTAATTTAACGCGTAACAAATTGGAAGAACTATCATTGGATTTGTTTGCAAAACTCAACAATTTAAGGGTCATCGATTTGAGATACAATCATTTCAATGAAATCTATATTAATACGTTTAATTTATCAACTTTACAACATGTTTATTTATTCGGTATGTATATTGCAAAAAAAATAATATTATTAATATCATTAATATATATTTATATTGTATTAAATTTAATTAAGAGCAATAATAATCATATTCGAAATATTTCTAAATATATTTCGTATTAATGATATAATAATTATAATATATTTAAACAAAAAAAAACAAACACACACAAAGGTAATCCTTTGAAATGTAACGAAAATATGGCTTGGATACTTGACACGAGGAACGAATCTTTTGCTAAAAAAATTGTCGATCGTGAAAAATTACGTTGTTCAATTCCCCACGATGGAAGACCACTCGTACAAGTCGTTCAAATTATTATGGTAATTTTTACAAATGTTTTTTCTTTTCTTCCCTTATTTGTTATCAATTAAAATTAGCAGGTAAATAATTTGTCAACAAATTTTTCCCATACGATACAATATATATTTATTTATAATAATACAAATCGCACATTTTATTCGAATAATTTTTTATCATTGTTTTTTTAACTAATAATCAATTAATTTGTTAATCAACGAATTTTTATTGACAATTAAAAAAAAAAACAACAACAACATAAGTAATTCAAATAAAGTAATGTGTTGCAAATGTATTTTTTGTTTATTTTTGTTTTTTTTTTCAATTGTTTAAGTATTTTTTAATACAAAATACAAGTTAATTATTTTGTGTTGAATTTAACGAACGATTAAATTACATTTATCCTGCAATCATTTCGCGTTTTTAATTTTATTCAATTTGTCAAAGTAGAAAAAAAGAATTGAATTAAATATTTGTGTGAATATTCGAAATGAATGAATTGTAATTAATTTAATAGACGCTCAAGGAAGAATGCAAAAGAACTTTATGCGATTGTGAATTAGTATACGTGGTTGGACGTGGTGGTAAAAGAACATCGAAACAATTAATGGCATTTGCATCAGTTAATTGCAGTTATCGCGATTTAACCGAAATGCCTGAATTTTTGCCTGCCAATACAACGACCCTACATTTAACTGGAAACAAGGTTTGTTTTTAAGTTTTACAATTATTACTAAATATAATTATAATAATTATAAATATATGATTTATAGAAAAAAAAAAAAAAAAACAAAGTATACAAAATACGATAAATAATTATTTGTATGATTACAGATCAAGGATTTAACACCATTAATTAAAAATCCAGTTTACAAACAAGTATTAGATTTATATTTGAATGACAATTTAGTTGAATCAATAGTACAATTGGATGGCTCCTATTGGCTAGATCATTTTCGAATTTTAAGCCTTCGTGGAAATAAACTTTCAGATGTTTGTATTTAATTATATCATATTATATAATGATCATTTATTTTTTTTTCTTATTTTTTGTTCTTCTTCTCTTTATCGCAATATTTGTTCCCCAATAATTTGGATTGAGATATTAAAAAAAAAACAAACAATTACTTTCATTTAATTTCATTTTATTTTATTTAACAATCTAATGAGTAACTTGTCTTATATTATTAATAATTCGTACAATACTCTCTCTCTCTCTCTCTCGTGTTAAATTTTATTAATCAATGGTACTTAGAATATTTAAGAAGATTTGAAACACCTGATCAATATTGAATATGCTAATTAACAATAAAACATCGTAATACTTTGGATAATCTTCTTTTTTTTTTCTTTTCTTATTTTCTTTCTTTTAAATATTCATTTAGGTGCCAACTTACGCGTTGGAAAATGTTTTGTTACAAAGTAATAACGTTGTTAGATTGTATCTTGGTAATAATCCTTGGAGATGTGATTGTCTCTTTACACCTGGATTTCAGGTAAGAAAAATTCAATTGTATTGGAAAATATTTGCAAATTATTCTTTTTTTTTTAAATATACGTACGCGTACATATATATATATTTCTTTTTAAAAAATAATTAATTCGGTGTTAATCTAAAGATAATGTTTCGTTCATTTATTAACGTAAAGGTGTTTTCATGGGCATTACAGGATTTATTGATTAGGTATACAAATTTAATTAGAGATATAAACGAGGTCAAGTGTGCAGTTATCAGCGATGACGAAAATTCAAACAAACAGGTAATTTATTTGCCTCTATTATTATTATTATTATTATTATTAATTTGGGATTTTTAATCGTGAAAATTTATACCGAACGTTGATCAAATTCGATTTATCATTTCTTTTCTTCTTTTTTTTGTAACAGTAGTAGTAAAAATTAAAAAAAGAAAGAAAAATCTCTTTTCATTCGCACAAGTTCAACGTTTTATTTCAATCGGTATTAATTTGATCGATAACAACCCCTCCCCTACCCCACCCCCCTTCCCCCTATCTTTTTTTTTGAAATCGAATTATTCCAGTAGAATAAATTGCTTTGTATTTTTTGTTTAAATATATCTTTTACTTTAATTATTTACATTTCTTTTTCAAGCAGATTCGTGATTTAACTCGAACAGAAATTTGCATATCACCCGACGACAATACGTTGATTTATCCATTAGACATTTTAAACATTATATTGGCATTGATGATATTATTAATTATTTTCAAAGTTTTGTACGATTATTGGTCGTTCAAAAAAACTGGAAAATTACCATGGATCGTATCTAAAATACCATGAAAATATTATCATTGATTAATAAAAAAAAAAAAACCTTATATTATGTTGAAAATAAATTTTTCTTTTCTGTTCCACCCCCTCCACTTTCTCTTTCATCGTCATCTTCTCCTAGGTTCAAATATTTCTCGTAGAATTTTTCCGCGGCTGATTTTTTGGCCTTTTGATGGCTACTACCTTGTCCTAATAAAGAAGAAGAATAAATAAATAAATAAATAAATAAAATAAGAATAAAAAATTGAAAAAAATCTCGAATCGGTTAATAATTTTTCATGAAAATTCTTCTTCTTCTTCTTTTTTTTTTAGTTATGTTTGTATATGTAAATAAATTGTAAATAATTATTAGGTTTACCTTCGATGACGTGATCGAGAGCCACACATTTGGCTACAAATTTAACACCTTCGTGCCTGTATTTCATTTCTGTTATGTATTTCGGTGGGGGACCCCCCTTTTTTATACAAAGCATGTAAACCTTTCTTAATGGTGTCTCTATGGTATCGTCCTTTCCAAAATTAATTATTTCTAATATTCTTGTATGTGTGTGTGTTTTTTTTTTTTTTTTAAAAAGAAAACAACATTATTTTTATTATGCAATTAAATTATGAATATATATATATATATATATGAATTTATTATTATTCAATTAAAGGGAAAAGGGTAGTAATAAATTTATTTAAATAATTTACTGTTCTCGAGATAATTCCAACAATTGTTTCATATCTTTGTCATTCATCTGATGATCGGCTATATTTTGCAATATTATTTTTGCTATATTATTTTTAACCAAAATTTCTGTATCACCGCAATCGGTTGCTGAAAATAAATATTAATATTAATAAATAATTTATTAAATATATCGTATATATATATTAAACTGGTTATATTTTGATTTAATAAATACAAAATTAACCAGAAAATTCGGATAACTTTCCGGTGATAACGAAACGATTGCATTTATTTTTCTCGCAATGATATTGAATATTTATTTTACATTTATTAGCATAATCTTCTAAAATATCCAATGGTGTTTTATCATTTATCTTTTTTTCAATAAAAATCTGTAATCAAATATTATTTAACTTTGAAGATTTTTACTTTTCAATCAATTTAACAAATGATATTTAATTGTATGTGTCATATTATTTTGTATAATTTATTTAAATACCTCTCTTTTTTCGTTGATGTTAATTCTATCAACATTTTCACGCATTTGTTTATTATCTTGTGAATTGTTTAATGTAGAATGATGATTTTCTACGTTAACGTTGTCTTTCCAATCTCCCGAAGAATTTGTATTATTATTTTCTTGTACTTTTTCGAAAATTTTGTTTACAACAGTTTCTTTCGCGTTAGACAACGATTTCGTACGTTCATTTAAATTTTGTTCATTTTCACGAAGATGCACGTCTATTTTTTCTGTGCGTAAATATTATTTATAAATAAAATTATTCGTTATTAAATTATTTGTTTGTTTTTTTTTTATATCAAACTCACTGTTCCCTTCTTTGGTATCTTTCCAAAAATCTACAATATACAAAATATATTTTACAAATGATTTTAATCATTTTAAAAAAATTCTATCTCATTTTTATAAATTTCGTAAATATAAAATGTTGAATGAGTTTAACGAGATTAATAATATTTTTTTCTCGATTACTATCATTATCCTTTCGATGTTCCTCGTCTTTGAAATCTTCTTTCAAATTATTGAATTTTTCATCACTCAAAGATGGCTGATTAGACGAAATGGAATCAAAATCCGTGTCGAGGGTGGAAATGCTACTTTCCGAAATTTGTGTTCCTGCTGTGTTCATCATTATTCTTTCCTCTTCGACAACCTTTTTATACAAATTCTTTTTATATATGTTTCTTTATTTATTCAAATTGAAATGATTAATATTAAATTTGCGTAGAATAAATTTACATCGGCATCTACTGGAAAGAATTCGTCGCAAATCAATGAAATCATTTCGTCGGATTCACCGGAATCAACTAAATTGTTTAAATTTGATATTTCTAAAAATAAATTAATACGCGAGATGTATAAAATATTTATAACACATTAATTTCTTTTGTTAAATTATTAAATAAAAACCATCAGGAGATCTTGCACGAGGCATTCTGAGCTCTTGCAAAAGATCATCGGCACGATCGATAACAGTTTCCATTTCGCAAAGAAGTGGTGCAGCATTTGGGAATCTTTTTTTTATCATTTGCCATAAAATATCAGCATTCTGTAATTTTTGTAACGATTTCGGTGGTCCAAAGTCACGAGTTTCTAATATCTCGTCTCGTTCCACTCCTTCCGACATTTTAAATATACAATAATCTTTTATACTTTAAATTATGTTCAAAAAGTTGACGATTAAATCCAGGAATACGTAAAACTTGACATTTTTTTTTATTGGACTCGTCTCGTACGTCAAACGTCAATAAAATTAATTAATTGAAATTAACAAAACACTATATATATATATATATATTGGATAATAATTATTATTTAAATAAAAAAAAAAAGCAAGAAGACAATGTACATTTTTTTTTCAATTTTCAATCATTCAAATTTAAATGCAACTTTCCCGCCTTGGTTTTCGATAACACGTGACTGTAACGATACTAACAAGATCTATCAGCAGAAATAACAACTAATTGTATTTACATTTTAAATATTTTTATAGTTTATGAATCTTAATAAACAATTGGCGGCAAAAGTAATGGAGGCAAATTGTTATACACGTGTGCATTTTATATTATTTTCATAAAATAATTGCATGTTAATAATAATATATAATTAATGATGAAAAAATCTAATATAATCCAAAAAAAGGTAACTATAGTTTCTATCATTAAAATTTTAATATTTACACATGATCATGAACAAATACAAAATTTTATAATAAAGATTATTACATTATATATATAATTAATGTATTTTTGATTAAAGGGCTCGAAGAATGCAAATGCATCAGAAAAAAATCAGAAAAAGATTAATTCATTTTTTACAAAAATCCCTAAATCTCAAGAAAAGAATGATATTACAGAAAAAGATGTGATTTTGGATACAGAAATTAAAAACGATTCTTCCATAAACCGCAATGCTAATAAAAAGCGAAAAAGATCTGAGAGTTCAGATTCTGAATCGAATATAAAAATAAAAAATATTTGTTATGGTAATGTCGAAGAATCATTTTTGGACAATAGTCTCAAAATTATTGATGCGCAGAAAGAAAACTGCAAAATATCTGAGAATTGCAATAATGATTCTTTAAATATATGCGATGAAACAATTGAAGAATTTGATAATTCTTTGATCGAAGGTTTTACAGATGATTTAACTATCATCGATGACGAAGAAACTACCTCAAGTAATACTAACAATGTAAAAGATAACGATAACAAGAATTTGGATATAGTTGAATTAAATCAAATGTTCAACAACATGAACAACTGCGAAGAATTGAATGTGGAAGATTTCGATGAGATATTTGATACCGATTGGAATTTAGATTCGCAGATAAATCTTAATATGTTGGAACGATGTGAAGTTATAAATTTGGAAAAGAGTTTCAAATCGACAATCTTAAAAGTACAACATACCAATTTGAAAAGTTTTGGGACCGTAACATGTTTAGGATATTGGTAATTGTTAAATGAAAATTTGGCATTAACTTCATTATTTTAATATTAATTTCATTTATATTAATTGATATTTATTTTTGTTTATATAAATCAAGGAAAGATTTACAAATTAAGGAAGGCGATATTGTAATGATACAAGCGAAGAAAGAATCACAGAATTGGATTGTTGATAATGATCACGGTTACATTATAATAAAACCTGACGTATTAATTTCTAGTACAACAATTGTTGGCGGCTCTTACTGCACCAGACGAGCAGTGTTAAGTGAAAAGTTTGGAAGAATAGAATCTTTGCCATACTTTGTCTCTAATCAGATGCCATTACTTATTGGAAAAATAGTTCATACACTTTTACAAAAAGTAAATATATATTATTTCGTAAATTTTTTATATTTTTTATGTTTTATATATTTTTTATTTGATTTCGCAGAGTGTAGTTGAAAATATTTATAAAATAGATGATATTAGGAAAATGGCAGAAATTGAATTACAATCGAAAGATACGATTAATATGTTGTACAGTTCCGAATCTACGTTTGAAAAATGTAAAGACGAAGTATTATCATACGTACCGCAAATATCAGAATTTATTCAACATTACGTACACGGTAATACAAATACGCATGAATATTAATTCTTTGTCTCATGTTTAGGCAGTAGAAGCATATCACGAATCTCACTTGTTTTTTTTTGAAATATTTTAGATATAAAACAAAAAGCAATAAGTAATGACAAAAATAATTTCCAAGGGAAGATTTCTGAGGTACACGATATAGAAGAAAATATTTGGTTACCAAAATTAGGATTAAAGGGAAAAATCGATATAACGGCTGAAGTTAAAATTCATTCCCGTAAAAAAATAATGCCTATTGAAATAAAAACAGGAAGACCGTCATTTTCTTTGGAACATAGGGGCCAAGTTATTTTATATATTATGATGATGGCTCTTATGGGCCAAGAAACCGATAGCGGATTATTATTATATCTTAAGTATATATTAATTATTTATTAAAATTATTATAATAATAATATTAAGATATATTATTTGAAATAATTGACACATTTTAATAATATATCTTTAGAACGATATAACGTAAATAATAATTTAATATTTATTTCATGTACCACAGAAATAATAAGATGCGTGAAATAACGTGCGGTCGTGCCGAAAAGAGAGATTTAATTTTATTAAGAAATACTCTGGCTGATTATTTTACCAGAACGAAAAATATAACATTCTCGAATGATTCTAAAGATGCGTTGAAGAATATGCCACTGCCAGAGCCTATTAATCATTATACTAGTTGTCTCAAATGTCCTTACAATAATCTATGTTGCGCTTATTTAAAAAAGGACGATACCTTACAGTTGTCCGAATCTCACGGATTAGTCAAACTCAGTAAAGAAATTTTAAATGTATTTGAAGATAATCATATAGATTATATATTCAAGTGGGTATCTCTTTTGCAAATGGAAGAAAATATGCAAGCTGAACAATATAAAATGAAAGATATATGGACTCTAACACCAGAGAAAAGGTAAATTGTATCGATTATCGTATATTTTGTAACATAAATGAATCATTTACAATATTATTCTTTATTTTTTTTTTTATAGAGAAATGAAAGGAAATTGTATTAGCAATTTGAAAGTTATCGGTAAAGTAATCGAACAATACGATAGATTTAAACATATCTTTGTTCGTACGAATAGTCAAGCTGTAATCGATAAAAATATTTCTACAGAATTTATAGAAAACGAATACGTTATTGTTAGTACTGATACACGAATAAATATATCGTCCGGTTTTATAATACAGATAAATAAAAATGCGATTACACTTCTTTTAAACAGTAATATTATGAAACGTAACACGATTGAAAACTTTCATATCGATAAATATAATTCCATTACTTCTTTATTAACTTTATTTTCGAATGTTGGAGGCTTGTTATACGACAACGAAATATGCGGAAGATTACGAAGCATCGTTATAGACAAGTATTACTTTAAAATTAAATATATATATATTTGTTTTCAAATTAAATATTATATACATAAATATAATTGTATTCACATTTTAGAAAACCAGCAACATTCTTAAAAAAACTACCTCGTTCTGTTATCTTCAAATCAGCAACAGTATTACAACATTTAAATGAAGGACAACAAAGAGCAATTCTTAAGTGTCTAGCTGCTAATGAATACGTTTTAATAAAAGGCATGCCGGGAACAGGAAAAACTGAAACAATCGTAACTTTGATTGAAGTTTTATATAAATTAGGCACCTCAATAGTTGTAACATCGCATACTCATAGCGCGATAGATAATATTTTGTTGAAATTGTTGAATAAAAATATCGATTTTATAAGATTGGGATCGTCTTATTCGATAAATCCATTGTTAAAAAATAAAAATGAAGAATATTTAACATCAGAGTGCTCAACAATCGAAGAATTGAAATCGGTGTACGCAAATAAGGTATAAATTATTTTGTTTGTATATATAAAGTAGAAAATATGTTAAGATAATTGTGTATTAATATTAACAATATATTTGTAGAACATTGTAGGAGTTACTTGTTACGGTTCTAATCACATATTCTTTGACAAAAGAACGTTCGACGTATGTATAGTTGACGAAAGTACTCAAGTAACTCAACCAGCAATTTTAGGTCCATTGTACAACGTTAATAAATTTATTTTGGTAGGAGATCCTAATCAATTATCACCTGTTATTAGAAGTAAAACGGCTAAGTAAAATATATTTTTATTTATATAATACAGTATATAAATATATACATAAAATATTATTCATTTATTTATTCAACAAAATCGTATATACTTTTTCAGAAGCCTTGGCGCAGAGGAATCTCTTTTTGAAAAATTAGATTCGGAAAACAATACTATTTCTTTGACGTTACAGTATAGAATGAATAAAACTATTATGAATCTGATTAACAAATTAACGTACAACGATCAATTAAAAGCAGGCAATGAAACAATAGAAAATGCAACCTTCGTATCACCGAATACGAAAGTAATGAAATTTTCGATAGATTTAAATTATTTTGGACAACGAAGATTCGTTTTTTTAAAAGTGAATTGTAATTTTATGTTTCAGATACCATCGTCGAATGAAATATGGGTAAAAACGGTATTATCGCCAGCGTTAGATGATTCTGTGATTATTTTAAATACGGGTTGTATTCGTGAGATGACTATTGATTTTATCGATAAAAAAGATAATATTAAGATTGATCAAACGTGCACTAATATTTGGGAAGCAGCTTTAATTTTATATCTTTTGAAAACTTTATTTCAGGTAATTTAATAATTATCTTGTTTTCTTTTATATTCGTATTTTGTTGTCAACATAATTTATATTTAATTTATTTTTGTATTACAGATCGGAATAGAATGCAAACAAATCGGTATTATGGCGCCGTATAAAGCGCAAGTTATGTTATTGAGAAGTTTAATAGATTCAGAAATAGAAGTAAATACGGTTGATCAATATCAAGGACGCGATAAAGATATTATTTTCTATTCGTGTACAAAAAGTGTTCAGAAAAAATCAGACAAAGTTCAGGTACATTTAACATTTTATAAACGATAGCCCATTGAATTTTTTTCATTTAACGAGTAAACTATCGACCTAATCATTTTTTTTTTTAATTTAGGATACTGGAATATTAGAAGATCAGAGACGTTTAACTGTAGCTGTTACTCGTGCAAGGCACAAATTAATTATTATCGCGGATAAAGATACTATGAGTCAATATACACCGTTTAAGCAATGTTTTAATATAGTTGAAGAAAAAAATATAATCAACATACAGGACCCTTGTTACAATTTTACATGGGAACCGATCATTAACTCGTTGAAAAACAAATATGTCTTTACAATTGAATGAATGATTTATACAATTGAATGAAAAATGGCATGATTAATAGAATGTAATCAAAAAGTGATATTAATATTTTTTTATATTATACATAAGTTATTTGCGATTATATACAATAGTTATATTAATTAGTGATATTTCTTATAAAGTACTATAATATAATAAATAATATAATTGGTTTATATATGTTACCGTCAAAGCCGGAAATCCGTCATTGATAGTAGTAATTCCTCGGCATGCTGTAAATTGTACATCTTTGCAATTTCTTTGAAAAGTTTCGGTAAATATTTTTTATACTTTTTGCAAATGGATTTTATTGATTTTTATATTAAATTAAAGTACACTCTTTTGTCTACGCGTAGAATACCATATGGAGTTATAAATTAAGCAATTAAAGTTCAGGAAATGTCAGATAATGTAATGCTGTAAATTGTGCATCTTTGCAATTTCTTTGAAAAGTTTTAGCAATTTAGCGTTTAAAATCGTTAAACTTGTCAAAATAAAACAATGAAATAATCAAAAAACTAATTAATAATTTAAATGGAAAAATTGAAATAAAATAAAACATTGTTATAATGAAGATTTAAAAAAATAATCGATATCGAACAATCGAAGTGAAAGTAGTTCGATGATTGGTGTACGTAACAGATTCGATTGACGATTGGTAACGCTTCAGCCAATTAGAAGCTGCATCGTTTTATCGTTAAAAGTAATAAAAAAATTAAAAACTCGAAAAAAGAAACCTATAAGTTTTATAATTATAAAAATAAAAAATAAAACACAAAACACAAATTATACAAATCGATAATGCACATAGTAGTAATAGGAATATTAAACGAAAAATTATAATCGAGATGAAAAATATCGATATATCGAAAAACTCGAAAGTAAAACAATTCAATAATTGGTTGACGTAAATAATTCGATATATCGCTGAGAGTGCATTAGCCAATAAAAAGCGGCGTCGCATTGGAGCGTATTAAACTCGAAAGTTATTTCGACCAATGAGAGAAGAGAGCGAGGTATAGTGGGAAATGCTAATATCGAAGTAGTGGGGAGTGAAAAGAGGAAAGATGATCATAGTGGAGAGAAAGAGGTGCGGTGTTGCGTGATTGACTGAGAATCGAATGAACGTGTGTGTTTGTTGTGTTGTACGAGTTTTTTTACCCTGCTTTTTGGAAGAAGAGAAGAAGAAAAAAAAAAGAGAGATAAAAGGAAATAATAATAATAATAATAATAATAATAATAATAACAACAATAAATTAACTGTAAATTAACATTAATAACGATAACGGTATAAAGCTAATAATAATAATAATAATAACAATAGTATAATAACAGTAACAAAAAGAAGAAGAAGAAGACGAAGACGAAGACGACGACGACGACGCAAGCAATCTGAGCAAGCAAGCAAGCAAGAGAAGAAAGAATATAATTAAATAAAAAATAAATAGGCGGTGAGTGTGTTTTAAGAAAGAAAGAAAGAAAAAAAAAAAAGAGACAAATATGACGTCCTACATCCAAGTCGCTGAAGATGAGGGAGAAGAACCGATAGAGCTGCCTACTGAAGACGATAGCACGCTTTTATTGACCACCCTGTCTGCTCAATTTCCCGGGACGTGTGGCCTTAAATATCGCAATCCAGAATCCCGGACGATGCGTGGTGTACGACTCGTTGAGGGCCGACTTCATCCACCTGAAAATGGTTGGGGCAAGGCAGTCTATTTCTGTGTGTTTCCTAAAGGTGTGTATCACACCAGATAATTTTCTCTCTTATTCTATTGTATGTATGTATGTATGGATGTATGTATGGATTTATATATGTATGTATATGGTATGACTGATATATGTATGAGATGTATGTATGTATGTGTGTGGCGTTAGAGGTGCTTTTAAGATGCCCGATGCCTTCCTCCCCTCCCCTTATACCGTTTGACGGTGATGGCGTATATATCGTATCGTATGACCGTAGACGAACTGAATTTAAAATATAAAAACGAAAAATGTTTTATCCATTTTCATTTTCATTTTCATTTTATCGATATGCCACATTTCGACCAATATACATGACCTTCGTTCGATTTCTCTTTAATTTTCTACTACTATTTCTTCGTTTTCTTTTTCTTTTATATATATATATATATAGATATATAGGTATATATATATATATATAGATACATTTTTTGTCGATTATCTTATCTATTCTGAGAATGAATATTTCTTTGGAATATATATTTTATTGTTATAATTTTGTACTTTACGATTTATCTCTACCTTTTTCTTTTTTTTTTTAATTTTAAAAAATAAAATACTATAATAATGTATAATTGTTTAAATAATTGTATTTACGATTCTCTAACGCGCGTGACCACCGGTATTTATCTTGAAAGGAAAGGGGTTTTTTTTATTTATCAATTTTTATTTGCGGAAGAACAAACTTATAGTATATATTTAATGTATATTTTTAAATATATAATAAAAGGATATATATCATGCTTCAAAAGTTTCTATTATACGTAAATGATAACTGCTTCGCTATTATATAGATATAAATGAGAATCATATTTTTACTGCAATAGAAATTTTATAATCTCGATAATAAACTCGTATTCGTATATTATCTTTCTCTTTCTTATATTTAAAAAAAAAAAAAAGAAAAAATGTTTCTCATTAAATATTGTTAAGTATTGACAAATAGAGATAAATGGTGATAATATATACTTTACTATGATAAATATTTCGATATTTTTCTATCAAATTGTTTATAATTAATAATAAAATAATAGAGTGTTCTGGTACAGAAAAGATTAAAGAACATTTGTACCAGTGTTTTCCAAACTATAATTAAGGAAGACCAAAAAAAAAACACATACATACATAAAAAAAAAAATCAGCTTAAAAGTCGTATTTCATTAAAACTCTAACAATTACATTAATACATTTATCTTTTTACATAATATTTAATCGTAACAGGTATATATAAATTAATAATAACATTATCCGGATTAGTCTGGTATTATTTATTTTTGGTGTTATAATAAATTTTTCCAGCTTTTTAGCTTCTTGATCGTGCACCTGTATATCATCCTTGGCCACGAAACCTACACTGTACAATTCAACAGTTTGGTTAACACTGGTCTATGAGATTGTTAACAAAGCATAGCGATAGAAAACTAACCGATAGAAGTAAATGTTTGTGACATCTTTTCAGAAAATAAGCGTAAATCTGATGACCATTTGGAAAATTCCACAGCTAAGACAAAGAGAATGGAAACAAAGTTACGTTGTACAGACTTGATCGTACTGGGCTTACCATGGAAAACAACCGAGCAGAACTTGAGGGAGTACTTCGAGGCATTCGGTGAAGTTCTAATGGCACAAGTAAGTTATTAACAATTTTTATTAATTCATATCGAACTTATTTAAAATTATATTTAGAACAACAAAAGTTTCTTTCGTTAAGCTATTGATTTAATCCACGATGATGATTTGTCGACCATTGGTGACCGGTGTGATCTGGACAAAAAATCTAATGCTGGTTTATAGGAACCGGGCATAGTGTTTAACGTATTAATTATTACATTATTTTTCTTTTTTTGTAAATAATAATTATTTATTTTTATTTCATTGTGTAGAATTTCTTTATTGTATTATATATTTTTTTTAACCATTTTATATATATTCATATGTGTTATATATATTAAAAATTAATAAATAAATTGCGTATTAGGTAAAGAAGGATGCAAAATCTGGTCAAAGCAAAGGATTTGGATTCATACGATTTGGAAGCTATGAATCGCAGTTAAGATGTCTTGCTCAACGACACATGATAGATGGGAGGTGGTGCGACGTCAAGGTTCCCAATAGTAAGGTAAGAACAATAATAAAAGTTAATAACTCTTATTCTTCTTCTTCTTCTTTTTAACATTTTATTAGTCATTATTAAAAATATTATTTCAATATAAACTGCCGTAAAAGCTGTAAGTGCCCACACATAGATAAATAAATAATTTGTACAAATGTTTACTTAGCCCTGTACATATATTATTAT